GCCGGCTGGCCGCCACTGAGGGAGCCTCGCTTGGAGGAGGAGGAGAAAGCAGGGCTCGGGAGAGCGCCGCTCGCCTGGACTGCCGCAGGTCCCTTCCTCGCCTCGGACCTGTTCGCCCGGCGGCGCCTCTGCCTCCTCCTCCTCCTCCTCCTCCTCGCCACCGCGCCCTCCTTTTCTCCTCCTCCTCCTCTTCTTCTTCTGGCTTCACCGCAATGGGCTGTCGGCGAGCCGTGAGGGACTCGCCATCCATGTGAGGAAGGGCGCGAGACGGAGGCAATGATTTGAAAGGTGAGGAGCTGGCAGAGGCGGTTTCATGGGGGGGGCATTATATGAGGGACGGGGACGCCTCAGTTGGGAGCTTTCCTCTCCCACTCTCCCTCAAACACGCACAAATACACACACACACACTCGCATGCACACACACACACCAAATTGTGTCTGGCATTTGAGGAATTGGCAAGGGCGGGGGAATGAGAAGTGTGGCGCCTGGAGCGAGAGGCGGCCGAGACGAGGGAGAAGAGCTTCTCTTGGGAAAGAGTGTTCCTGTCATAAAATGTAGGGCCACCCCATGCTGCGCCCTCTCGCCTTCCAGGGGTCCACACGAGTGCCTCTCCCTTTACCCCCCCCACCTCAAGTGCCTTCGTGCCGTTTCTCCTCCTCCTCCTCCTCCTCCTCGAGATTGCCTTCTGTGGGCACGTCTGGCCGGGCGCGAGAGATGGAGCAGGAATACCATTTTTTTTCCTTTCCTTTTTAAAAAAGTGTTCTTACACAGACTTGAGAGGGATTGGAAATGTCCAGGATTCTGTTCGTGAGCGGACGCCAAAAGCTATGCTCTCTCTCTCTCTCTCTCTCTCTCTCTCTCTCTCTCTCTCTCTGTATGTGTGTGTGTGTCGGGAGGGGAGAAATGTGTGAGAGAAGAGGCTTCTTCCCCCCCCCTCTCCATCCCCCCCCCGGGTTTGAAGGAAAAAGGTTCTCAGGGAGGAAACCCACCTCCCCAAGGATAATATATTTGCAGTTATATAATGGAGAAATAGATATGGGTTGGGTTTTTAGACATACATTTTAGGACCTTACACACACTTGAGAGATTATTTTAGGTGCCACATAAGTAGGATACAAAATACAACCTCTCCCTCTCTCCCTCTGTGTGTGTGTGCATTTTACTGCATGCATATGTATATCTATTTTGCATGGAGATCTGTAGTAATAATGTAGGGCCATGGAAGGCGGGGATGCCTGTTTTGTTAACGCATGTGATTGATTTCTAGGCGGCTACCTGCTAAGACTAGAATGGATGGGGGGGGGACTTGACTCCCTTACTGCGAATTGACATTTGTGCTTTGATGGACAAAACCATGGGCTATTTACATTGGCAGGAGTGGTCTCCTTGTGATGAGCTCGGCCAATTACTGCGGCCTGGAGGAGGGCAAATCCTCTTGTCAGGGTTAGTTTCCTGGTTGGCTTTTTAAACCAGTGGTTTCACTTAGCTGTTTGTTTGGTCTTGTTTCACCCTCCCTTTCCCACCGCAGTTAAAGCAGCCAAGAGAAGATTCTCCCCTCCTATTATCAGTGAGCTCCTAAAATGAAATACAGTAGTCACCTTTTCAATGCCTTTGTCAGAGCTCCTTATTACTTAGAAGGGTGGTCCTTGTGGTAGTCCTGAGAAAGAGCATCTGTGATATTCTTTTTTCTTTTGAGATGGGAGGATGCAGAACAAGACATCCCACCATCCTTTTCTTGCTCTAAAGGAGTAGCAATGTCCCTGAGAAGCTACATTTTCCTGGTTATTTTCCCTATGGACAAAACTAATATACATTTTTAAATTATATATTTCAAGTATTTCTAGGTTGTTCTTTGCCTCTTTCTCTCATAGCTGTATGGAGAGATAGTAGATAATTTAACCACAATTTTCCCAGTCTTGATTGCATTCTGCTTCACACTGAAAAATACAGGAGTCCTCACTAACAAAGATTATAGAAAGAAGAAAAGGATTAGGGTTATTATTGGGGTCTCATATTGAAGTTTAAGGTACTTTCTAAATGAATTCTGGTGGTGGCAGTGGTGATGATTTAGGATCTGCTGGAACCTGATATGTATTACTGTATCCACAGCATCTACCTTGGCCAAATTTTCCTGCAAAAAAAGCCTTTACACATGTTACCTTGAAGTTAACTGTCTTCTTCTGTCCATGTTGCACTGAGTATAGGTTTTATGACCTGCGTTTTCTTGTTGTTTTGAAAACAGAGTGTGCACAACTGCTATTTTCAACAGAATGGTTCTACTTCTCATATGTCTCCTTTGTTTCTCTTGGAACTGCAGTCATATGCCTTAGCTAAACATGCAGCCGAGTCACATATAAGTAATCCTTATGTTTCTTTGTCTCACAATTATGTGACTCAGAAACATTTTTTGTTTCTTTTTAGCATTTACAAGATTCATCCTTTCTTTAGTAAATCTCAAACCATTTTCTGTGCCTTGGTAAGCTTTCTTTGATATTACTGCAGGTTCTTTATTTCTGCCTTTCCTTTCTGCATCTTCTTCCTCCTCCATGCTGTTCAGAAAGTTTCTCAAAACAAATTATTTTGTTGCGTCACTAGGATCATATTTCTGCTCTCTTTAAATATATTGGCTTCCTGTTTTTATATGTATATGTATGAATTTCAAGGTTCTTCTGGTCCTTATTTTTTAATTCCTTGGCGACATCTCTCGTAACAACCTTTTTGCTCAATATACTTCACTCAGGTTTATCTCCTGCCTGCCCTTTTTTGGGGGGGGGGTCATTTTGTTCCTTTCTCAGTGACTGAAATCCAGTAATAAGTCATAGTGAGAGTAAGCCCATTGAATCAGCGAGGGTTGGTGAATTAATTCCTCCATACAATCCACTTATACAAGCCTACTCTTGTTGCAACTTGCTGTTGGATTTTGTCCAGTGTCCTTTGTCAAGTTGTTTGTTGTGCTCAAAACTAGCTTGGTGTCCTTTTCCAATTCCCTTTCACTCTGTCAGTGTCTCCTCTGATTTACATTTCTATTCAAATTCCATGCTAGCACAAATGTTTCTAGATTATCCCTTTATTACTTGTCCCTATATTGAAACCCAGTGTGGTGTCATGTATAAAATAATGGACTGGCACTCAGGATACCTGGGTTCAAATTCTCACTCAGCCATGCAAACTCACTGGGGATGTGAAAATGGTAAAACAACTCCTTACGTACTGTACCTTGAAAACACTGTTAAAGATCCTGTAAATTGGTTCCAACCTGAAGGCACATAACAATAATACTTGTATTTATTGATTCCTTTACTTTTCTGACTTCTCAAGTCCCAATACTGCACCTCTTTCTGCAGCTTTCAGTTAATAATTAATTTACAAGTGTAAGTGCAGAATACTTGGATCGGAATGAAATGAGCAACCTATCTTTATACGTGGCAGAGAAAGTAAGATTAAAACAATTCAGCTATATTTCTTCTGCTTTAAAAGACAGAGTTTTCGTGGAAATGATGTGCGGGGTTGAAAATAAAATTAATGCTTTGTGATAATTGTGCATATGGATTCCTAAGAAATAGAGACCTAAGTATCAAGATACTATGTATTTGTGAGAAACATGCAAAGTCTGTAATACTGTCACCATTTTCTGAATTATATTAATTGATTTAAAAATGTAAATTACTGTGGTATGGTGTTATGTCAGTGGTAAGAAAATATAATCATAAAGAGTTAAATGAATTTAATGTGTTATCATCTTACTATGCTTCTGCCAGGCTATGTGATTGTATGATGTGTGTAAGATCTACCTGTAACATGAGACAATCATAATGTTACTTAGATGTATTGTGAAGATGAACAGATCATGAGGAAACAGATGGATGCATATTTCAGATTTGACTCTAGATTTTTTTTTCATAGAATAAGAAATGTCCTCTTTAGAAACCTATCTTAGCACAGTTGGAAATGATCCACGTTTTCGTATTTGTTTTTATCTGTGCTCTACTTATAGTTTTTTGTGGTGATGTAACAGTTGTAAAACTTGGTATATAGCAAAGAAATCAGGTGTAATGTCTCTGTAAACAAGGATAGTTTTGTCTTTGTTTCAGAAAGTCAGTGTTTTGAATAATTTAGCTATCTTTCAGCTTTCTTTTTCTCTGCTTTCTGGAGGAAAGGAACTGAGAGCGACACAGGTGCCTCAAAATGTCTTACAGATTTTGTATTACTTAGAGCCTTATGAATTTCAAGCAATATAGTGAGGGAAAATAAAATCAGATGTATTCTCACTGGGAGTGGCAAAAAGAAATCAGCTTCTCTTTCTGTTCTCAAAAACAAAACATTGAAAATGACACATTGAGTAGATAAAATTATTTTCTGTTGCTGAATCTCAAGTAATTCCAAAAGGAATGTATTTTCTTCACATTCTGCAACTATCAAGTGTGTAATCGTTGATGAATCTGTTAGGAATAGCATTAGCAGAGGTTATAAGTATTTGTTCTTACAAATACTGTTACTCTTAACTTTCTTTGTCCTTCAGCTACATACTTCATAGGCTTTGCAGATTTATTCCCTTGGCAGTAGAAGTATGTTTCCTCTTTTTTTCCCCTGTGGTGTATTTTTATACATTTTAGGATTTTTACAAAACTCTTTGGGGTTTGAATATTATTTTAAAATTTTCTGTTAATGCATGAAATAGATGTGTTCAGTTTGTGGAGTTTGCAAAATACTAAAAAGAGGAGAAGAAAATGTTAAAAATGGTTTTAAGGAGTTGCAAAGTAGATTGATATGCACCAAACAGAGATGATTAAGGATCTCAAAAGATAACTCTTGTGAAAATTAATTGGCATTTTAAACTTTTAAAAAAAGTGTTGATAAAGCTGGAGATAAAAGGATTGGCAAATGGCGGAAAAGAAAGAAATTGGAAGACTTTTCAGATTCTGCCATTCGTGACTGTTGGTTGGATTCTCTCTCCTAGCTCATCAAGCAAAGGGGTGTTAGGTATTTTGCATGAGGTTTGCCACATATCTGTATAACCTCCTTCCCAGGCCAAATAGGAACCTTGAATTTCAAAAGAAGGTGATGGGGGAGGGGGAAAATATTGAACAATTTTCATTTTCATGAATAAATTTTCAGTGATGTAATCAAGAATCTTCTCTTGGACAAGACAGATGATTTTTTACTTTTGTGGTATTTGATATAACACTTAATACTATTTTCACACACTTTGAATACTGTTTTGATATGCTTGCTAACTGAATATAACATCAAGCAACTAGAATGTTGCATTATCTACACCAAAAGGCAG